ATTTTAATAAATAAATAAAATTATAGTAAAGGTTTCCCTATCTTACCCTTTTCTTCAAATCAAATACAAGGTAAAAGGGAAATAAAAGAAGAGTTCAACAAATAAATATAGCCCTCGCCAAACAAACCTTTACAATCCCCCCAAATAGACACATCCGGGCCAAAAGAATCAAGCCCAGCTGCAAAATAACACGGCAGGATATCCCTACGGAAGAAACGCAAACCAAAATATCCAAAACCAGACAGACTATTTGCCTTCGGCACCTGTACCTTGTCCTCTATGCTTTTGGAATCTTCTTTAAACTTTCCCTCGCCAATATCAATAAGAAAGCCCATCAGTTCCTTTTGACTTTACTAGAACATGGGATATTCATGAGCAAGCCAATCTGCCACTTGGTTAACTTCTCTGAAAATATCTTGGTATCGAAGACCTCCCTCGAATAAACCTTTCATCTTCAGGCAGTAAGAGATGATGCCTTTCAAATTCCAAGAAACATTTGCCTTTTTGTTGATAACCAATAATGAATCACCATCGATCATAATAGGGTGCTTCCTATAGTTTGTTGCTTGAATATATGCTTCCCATGCAACCCACACTTCCGCTTGGTTGATGGTACAGGTGCCAAGTTTATATGCTTTAACCGCTATCACCTGACCAATATGGTCACGAACAATACTAGCTACAACACATTTCCTGTCACTGTTACAAGCGGCATCAAAATTTATTTTAAGAATGCCAAATTTTGGAGCGCTCCAAATAATTGGATTCCACACTTTGTCCTTTGTGCAATGATTTTATCTTTGCTGCCATCAAGAAACTCCATAAACATATCAAAGGCCCGATCTAAAATAATTTGAATGGGATTTGAAACATTATTGAAAGTTTCCGTGTTCATATTTTTCCAGACAGCCCAAAGAACAAAAGCAGGCTTTTCTTTCACTAAAGTCATATTGTTTTCCTTTTTATTGCCGACCCTTGTCCACCAATCCCTCAAACTTTCATTCTCATTTGGTCCCTCCAAGGGAGTGTTTAAGGTAAGCCACAATTGTTTTGTGTGGGCACAATTTTTAAAAATATGGTCAGTATCGTCCTCCTCATCCCCACAAAAACTACAAAAGCCATCAATGTTATATCCTCTTTTCCTAAGATGGCTTTTAGTAGGAAGCCTATTGTTGAGAAGGAAAAAGAGAAAAGTCTTTATCTTTGGGGCGCATTTGATATTCTAAATATTAGCCAACCAATTAAAAGTACCAATTGGGTTAAGAACAGAAAAGCATTTCAATAAATAAGCTATTTTTATAGAGAAAATCCCCTTAGGGTTGCACCCCCAAATAATTTTGTCCTCCATTGAGTTTGGATCAATAAAAATTGTCTTAATATCTTGCCAAATTTGGTCAAAAACCTCTGCCTTTATTTTGTCTTCATTCCAACATTCTCTTCCAAAATCAATCATATCTGAGACTTTAATGTTCTGATTTGCCATAGTCTTTATCTTATGTTGTAGCAGAGATTGGAGATCAAATCCTGCTTGCATCAGGGTTAAAGGTTATGTAGAGGTGTTTATTGTACGGTTCAAATCACAAGCAAAGGAAATTTTTAACTTTTAATTCTCTCTCTCTAATCACTCGAGATGCTGGTAAATACAAGCAAAAGAAATAAAACTAAGGGAGGATAGGGGTATTATTTGGGCTTTCTAATTTGGTTAAGCCCAATATAAATATAAAATAGCCTAAAATATTTAAAATAACAATTTATAATTTGGTTTGGAGATGGGCTATCCCAGTTGTATACTTCTATAGCCCCATAAACAAATAAAAAATTAGTATACAAGGATCATATCGTCATAAGGGAGTCCAGATCTAGATCTTCCTGTACATCAAATGAAGGGTGCCATATCAGCACCCATATTGTAGAAGTGACAATAGAGGATGTTTGAAAACGTCCTTTCATCTTGTTTTTAATATATTAAAATTTATATTAAATTTTAAATCAAATAAAAACAGGATATAAAGGTTTAAAGGTTTAATATTTAATGCCAAACACTAGTTAAATCACACTGAAAATATTAATAAAAGGCTTTGACTTTCGATTGAGGATCTCTCTACTCTTTTTATTCTGCTCCCTTTATTCATGTTCAAGATGTGGAAATTATGAAATGGGAGGAGTAATTTAGGTTTTGTTATATACCTGCATCAACTCAAAAAATTGAGAGTTTCAGTGAGTAATAAATCAATTACTGATGAATACTTTTCCATTGTCGATTATTGATGTCAAAAGTAAAATTTAGGAAGAAAAATGGTGGGGATCCTAGTAACAAGAGCTTGAGGAGCATAGTAGGGCCCTTTATCTCTACAAAAACTCTTCAAAGGGTATAATTTCGAACTCTGATAGTAGACCCAAATTTATTGGAAAAACCCATGTCCCTAATGTAAAGCCAAAACCTAAGTTCCTCAAGGAAGACTTGTCTTACAAATCATTGTAGAAGGACAAGAAGTCTCCATGGGATTAATTGGTAGCCCTTGAACATTCGGAATTGTAGACTTAGTTTCTCTCTGTAAGTGCATTCAATCAAAGGGGTGCTGCTAAATTTCAACATCGATGTATGTGTTCACTATAAGACAAGGGAAGTTGGGTTGCAAATATACATGGCTAGGGTTTTTTAAGGGACCATTGATTTTGAAGATACATTGACACACAAGGTTTTGTCTATGGTAGCCGTAACGGGACTAATCATTTGAACAAGTATTAAGCACATCATTTTTTTGCTTCATGCTTTTGTCGGTGACTTGGTAGCAAGTAATGCTCAGACATGCAGTTTTCTGTTGCTTCATTTTAGATATGTTTAGTTTCTTGCAGAAAGCTTTGAATGAAAGAAGAAGAAGAAACCATTGTCTTGTATTTTTTATTGGTGTATTTTGTCTCAAGCATTCCGTTCTAAATCAATGTTATGCGATGTTCAGGCATGTGGCTTTTTATTGAATTTGGATTAGTTAAACGTGATGGCTGTTCAATAGACTGTGGAATTAATGACAAGGTTCCATGCCATAATAAATTCATGGGCCCTATTGTAAATATTACGGGCCCCATGTATTTAAATATTGACGTAGAACCTTATAATTGATTCCACAACCTCTGGAACAGCCATTTTAGAAACTTTTAATAAGAAAAAAAAAAGAATGGGAGGATCGTTTTTAACTGTTAATTCCACTCGCATATACAAGATTGAGTTTCTAACAGTTAACCCTTAATATCAATAAAAAGTAATATTTTTATATAATAATTAAAATGGGATAACTTTTTTTATACAAGATTGACTCAATGGCTCCAAGCTTGGTCCGAAAGCGGTCTGGCTGTCTATTTGCAGGTCTGTTGCAAATAGACTCTGCAGCAGATGTCTATCTTTTCGGCCAGGTCGAGAAACAGAGGAATCGTATCAAAAAATGGCAATAGACACTATTGATGACTCAAGCTAGGAGCCCGACACTCCTTTTCGCTGGATACAACCGCTTTCGGACACTCTTGAACTGTAATGTCTAAAATTACGGACCGCAAATTCCCTCACCATGAGTTTTCTGCGGTCCGAAAGGAGTACAAAAGCTTGGCCGGAAGCGGGTGAGTTTTCTGTGGTCTGTAATTTTAGACATTATAGCTGCGCCCAACACTCCTTTTCGTTGGATACAACCGCTTAACGGTGCTCTTCACCTTTATTAAGAAGCATTTGGGAGCAGCAGGCTTTGGTTTAAGAAGCATTGAATTCGGCGGTATGATTTTGGATGATACTGGATTCGCCATAAGTGCAGTTGCGGTAGAGGACTCGGACGAGTTCTTGGGGAAGAATACAATCACATTGCTAAAGAGGTGACAAAGATCACAAAAGAACTTTCAGCTGCAACCATGGTATCGCCCTTCTTCCAACCTCGATCTCACTGTTTCAAGATCAAGATGTTACCGGACCAAACTTTTGTACTTGGCCATATCCTGAAAATCGGAAAAAAAAAAAAACATCACCAGCTGTAATGTGGTTTTCCGGCACAATTTATAAATTATTTGTTTTTTTTTTTTTTTGTATGAACCTCATTCAGACGTTATCATAGCCCAAGCGGATACATTCGCAGGCAGACAATTATTTGTCTTTTTTTCCAAAAATACTATCTTATTTTAGTAATTATATAAAAATATAAATTTTTATTGACATCAAGGGCAAAAAGTTGCCCTTAACCGCAAGAAACCCTACAAGATTCGCCCATGTTACGGTACTAACGGTACCTGACTTGTGAGAAGGTAGCTCATTTTAGTGGTACTATACTCCAGCAGTTGCGTTCAATCTATGGTAGGTCTTCTGACGTATTACAGCAGATTCAGTCTCTCAGGCTGGGCCCACTCAGTTATAGGCTCGCCTATCCCAGAAAAAAGCCCAAACTCCGAAACACCATTTTTTTTGAGGCTTTGGAAAATACGATATGATGCGCCCCTCACATGCCATGGGCAATTTGTGTTTATGGCAGTGTTTGGTATGTATCCATTTATTTGATATATCCTTAAATCAGCATTTGTCCTATCCCCATAATTATAAATTTTGGTACTGATTTACATGTACTTAAATTATTGGAGGAAGTTTTATTTTAAAGTTTGTACGGCGCCTAATGGCACCTAATCTCATAAAAATATTTATCAACCATTTTTCTCGGTTTTAAAAATAAATCAAATACAAATATTTTATTATACCAAACACATACTATATCTATTCCCTGCTTCGGCTTTTTATTCAATTTAATAGGAAAGATCATGCTTTAATGGCAGTGGGTAAATCCGATGAACTCATCACCCGACTCAGCTCATGAGTCATGATGTCTACAACCAACCGCCCGCGCTCGCGCTCGCGCTGCACCATACCATTGAGAATGCTTGTCAGTTGCCTCTAGAGTCAAACCAAAAGAAAGCAACTTCCCTTATACAGTACTCTCCAATTTCCATCTTAAACTTCCTACGACTCAACTGTGAGAATAGTATTATCTTCCTCACAAAAGAATTAAAAATATCAATTAGAAAACCGAGGAAAAGAAAGCAGACCGAGAGAAGTCCTTTTCAACCTTATCGTCAAAGACCTTCTGGCACTATCTCTGCAATTCACCGACTCTGATCTTCGGTTCAATCAGCGACGACATGGGTGGAAATCCTGCCACTACCCAAGAGGCACCACTGCCTAAGAGGGTCCAGGAGCTTGCTTTGAGCGGCGATGAACCACCAGCTAGGTTTATCCGTAAAGATTACATCAACGACGATGGGGCGGCCATTGTTGATGCAGTCTCGTATTCAGTTCCTGTCGTTGATCTCCGTCGCTTGTCATCCTCCTCTTCATCTCTCAACGACAAAGAAGAAGAGATGGAGAAGCTAAGATCTGCTCTTAGTTCATGGGGACTATTTCAGGTCCATAACAACACTTTGCCACTTAAACTTTTAAATCGATCTTGCTCTGTTTTCTTTACCAATCTCCTTGGGGGAAAAGTAGTCTGGTCTGGTTCCTCTTTTAGAGTTATCTTTTATAATAATCATCATCTTATGTTGTTAAGTATTGAAATGTTTCTTTTGAAACTTAATTAGGTAGTTAACCACGGAATTACAAGTTCTTTCCTTGATGAGATTCGTGATGTTACGAAAGGATTCTTTGATCTTCCCATGGAAGAGAAGCAAAAGTACGCCAGAGAGAAGCAGAGTTCATCCACTAGCTCTGGTGAAGCCTACGGGACTGACGATATTATTTCGGAGGATCAGATTATTAACTGGTCTGATCGGATGTACCTCTTAATACTCCCAAGAGATCAGAGGAGATTGGAAATATGGCCAGAGAAGCCTCATGCTTTCAGGTACTTTGAGTTTTATCATTAATTAATTGTATTAGCAGAATCAAAATCGATAACAATGCTATTGCAGAGAAACCTTGAATGAGTATGTCATCAAGACAAGCTTGGTAGCTGAGCTCGTTCTCGAAGCCATTGCGAATACACTGGATTTGGAAGAGAATTACTTCATGAACCAGTTAGAGGACCAGACTTTAGCATTTGCCCGGTTTAACTACTATCCTCCTTGTTCAAAGCCAAACCTTGTATACGGACTTAAACCCCACACAGACGGATCCATGATCACCATTGTGTTGCAAGACAGAGAAGTGGAAGGCCTCCAAGTTTTAAAAGACCAAAAGTGGATCAAAATTCCGATAAACCCTCATGCTCTGCTGGTCAATTTAGGGGATCAGATGGAGGTATGTTTTTTCTTTTCTTTCTGAATTATTGACATGTTATTGTTCCATGGAAAATCAATTCAGAAGTTGGGTGAATCAAGAAAGTACTGAACTCATCTTAGTACTTGGGTTCACCAGACACCCCAAGAATATGAAGTGCATGTTGAAATCAAACTCTGTATCTAGAAATCATGGTCTGAAATCTAAAGAATCTCGAAAATAACACTGGCAGATAATGAGCAATGGGATTTTCAAGAGCTCCATGCACAGGGTGATGACAAATTCAGAGAAGGCAAGAATCTCTATTGCTGCTTTCTATTCACTACCATTTGAGAATGAGGTTGAACCAGCAGATGCATTGATCAACGGAAGCAGACCCAGGTTGTATAGGAGGGTGAAGGTCAAGGACTATCTCGAAATCTTCAACCAAAGATACCTGCAGGGAAAGAGGGCAATCGACTATGTCGAAGCCTAACTTATGAGTCTCATATATCATCTCTCAAGGTAATTAGCTTTCAGAAATAGTTGTGATTTGGTTACATCTCAATGTAGTCAAAATTGCACTATTTTCAGTAAAGATCATCTGGTATCCAAACAACAAAACAGAGGTGAGAGAACTATTTCAGTATTTTGGAACATAATTCAACTCAAGACTTGTTAATGACTTGAAGATGCAGAGGCAACAACTAGCCTTGCTCCTGAAACTCTATACTACTGTCCTAGGATTTTAATGTCCTCCCATGTGAAGAACCCTTGGTTAATTTGTAAAGAAATTCTGGCAATTTCCTGTTTGAAAATGTAATCTCCAAAGAACTAATTTTGATTGCCAGAAATTCTGGCAATTTCTGGTAATTTTCTGTTTCAGCAGCTTGTTGAAATATGAACTGTCAAATTTGAACTTGTTTGCACCATCTCCCTTATATCTATGTGAGGAAATTTTGTATCCTCTCTCTGCAGAAGGAATTTAATGATGACTGGGTGATCCTCCAATGGCCTCAACTATGACAAGCCGAGCAATAAGCTGACAAAGGTCTGCTTAATTAACTAGTCCTTGGACATTGCTCCTTTATTCTTTACGATAATAAATTGCTTCCTCTTAAGTCTTCCATTGAGCCACTAATTGCAACCTCTGGGTCATAAATGGCCGCATCTTTCTTGTCACTTCAGGGGAAGCAATAAAAGTAATCATTGATTCTTATAAACCCGAAAAGCATGAGGCTGGTCGATTCTGGTCGATCTGCTGGAGGTATTTGAAAGGCATTCTTAATCAAATCAATTGTATCTTTCAAAAATTTTGGCTAACAGGCTTCGTACCATTCTGGATAAATGGTCTCTCTTAATCAATCAGTTTCTATCCTAGGACGACAAATGATGGACAATATCATTATTACCCATGAGATGTTCCATTATCTCAAACATCATCGAAAAGGTACAGGCTATGTAGCTATCAAACTAGACATTGCAAAAGCCTATGATCGTCTTGAATTGTCTTTTCTCCTAGAAATCCTTAAAGCTTTAAGCTTTGCTCCAGAGTTCTGTCAAATCATTCATGAATGTATTTCTTCAGTCTCTTACTTGGTTCTCATTAATGGTACTGCAGGGGATGGGATTTCACCCACTAGAGGTATACGACAAGGAGATCCTTTATCTCCTTATCTTCTCATTATTGCCATGGAATGCTTTAGCCGTATGATTTCCAAAGATGAGAATAATAATCAACTTCAAGGTGTGAAAATTTCACCTCGCGCCTCTACCATTTCTCACCTCCTATTTGCTGATGATATTCTTCTTTTCCTGAGAAGCCATAGAGAGGAACTAGACTCAGTTAAAACTTTACTTCACCAATTTCAGTCTCTCAGGACAATTAACTTGGATAAATCTGGTATTTATTTCAGTAAAAATAACCATTCAAAACACCAATGTATGATTCAAAGGCAATTCCAAATGAAACCCCTTCCTATGAATTCAAAATATTTGGGTCTCCCTTTAATTTGGGGACGTAATAAGTACTCTCAGTTTTCTTTCCTCTTGGATAACCTTAAGAATAAACTTAATAAATGGAAAGCTTCCACCATTAGTCAAGCAGATAAACGAGTTTTGATACAATCAGTCCTTCGACCAATTCCAACCCATTCCATGTCTATAACTCAATTACCTAACTAAACCATTTCTGAAATTGATCAAATCATTAAAAACTTTTGGTGGAATAAATTTGAAAAAAACCCCTTCCTTACCATTGGGCTTCTTGGAGTAAACTTACTATTCCCAAATCAGCTGGTGGTTTAGGCTTTCAGCAAACCAAATTAATCAATCTCGTCCTTCTCAAGAAGCACACTTGGAGATTTCTCAATAATTAGAAACAGTGGTGGGCCCATCTTTGGAAATCCAAATATCTACCTCATAATGCAGTTTTTCCTTATAGAATTCCTCATTCTAGCTCTTATTTTTTAAAATCTATAGCTCCCAAATTGCAAACTTTATCTCCAGAGGTAGGATTTCTAGTATTCATTTCTTCTACAGAAAATACAATCCAAATTCCTTGGGTTCAATAAAATCATCAATTCCATGTAATTGCTCAACCAGTACCTAATCATTTAACAAATACTACATTTTCTGATCTCATAATAAAATGGTCATTGGAACTCTTCACTAATCCAAAGTCAATTTGATTCTCATCAATTGTCTCAAATCCCAAATACTCCCATATTACTTGCAAATTCTCCCACTCACTGGATTTGGACAAAACACTCATCTAGGAAGTTTAAGACTTCAGTTGCCTATAATGACTTGATTCAAAACTATCTTCCTATTCTTCCTTATCAAGTCAAATTTTGTACTAAATGGATTTGGAAACTCACTGGATTTGGACAAAACACTCATCTAGGAAGTTTAAGACTTCAGTTGCCTATAATGACTTGATTCAAAACTATCTTCCTATTCTTCCTTATCAAGTCAAATTTTGTACTAAATGGATTTGGAAACTCTCTTATCCTCCAAGATATCAACTTCTCTTCTGGAGAATTATCCATAACTATATCCCTGTTAAGACGAAAATCCTTCTTGACTCTCAAGACTTATCTTGCGTTTTTTGTCAACAGCATCTTGAAACCTCAAATCATCTCTTCATTGAATGTTTTTTCACAAAATCTGTATTATTTGCTTCTCCTTGGAATATCAATATTATAGAAATGAATCCTGCATCTTGGATTGACTCTATCCTTTATATTGAGCATAAAAGTCTAGATAAAGATACTTTTCGGTTAATACTTTCCTGGTATGCTATTGCTTTATATTACATTTGGCATGCTAGAAATGAAAAGATCTTCAAAGATTCACATATTTCTAATATTTGGGTTATTCGGAAAACTAATTCTATCTTTCAGGCAATTTCAACCTCTCCTTTATAGTCATCTCTAGATATAACTTTCCCCTCCCAACTGTGCTTAAAATCTTAAATTATGTACTAATTGTCTCATTTTTACTGATGCAGGAAAGATTAATCATTCTTTATTTTCATATGGAATTATTATACTCAATACTCAATTACACTGTATCCAAATTTCAGGAGAAAAGGAGTTGCAATCTATAGAAGAAGCTGAACTTTTTGCGATCCACCAAGGGAGCATTTTAACACAGCAGCTTGGAAAATCTCATCCGATGTTTTGTTCAGATTCTCAAGTTGTAATCCAATCTCTCCAAAATTAAATTTCTCTCCCTTGGTCGTCTCTAGGACTTTTGATTGGAACTTAGAACTTACTCTTTGATTTTATTTCTTTCCAACTATTACATATTAACAGGAGGTATAATGTTCCTGCGCATCAAATAGCAAAATGGTGTAAAAATATTCCACAGGAACATATTTAGCTACATAACTATCCTCCTGCTTAAACAAGGTCCAGAACTTTGTATTTTTTTCTTGCTGTTAATATATAATCTTTTTACCTGTCAAAAAAAAAATCAAATCAATTGTATCTTTTTGGCTTCTCCATTAGTGAGATGGGTTGTGTTTGTTTCTAAAAGTTTATGCAGCTTAATATGCAGGTTTTTATTTGAGAGGCAGAGGCCATAAGAGTCTAGATCTGTTCCTCACAACGTATCTCAGCTATACATCCAGAACATCTCCTGTAATTTGTGTTACTATTCATGGGAAGGTGTTCTCAATACATGGTGGGATGGGGCTGTGAAGTCATTGTGAGGAGCAAATCCCGATTCAAGGCCATAGCCTGAGGTGATGGGATCTGCTCCTCACAGGCACATCCACCGTGCGTGTGAGGCGCATGTGAGAGGCCAATTATGAGGAGCAGATCTGGTCTCTAGCCTGAGCACAAGCATGGTTAGTTAAATCTCTCTCTAAAGAGTTAAAGACTCCATTTAAGAGATAAAAATAGCAACTGTTTAGGCCAATAGCCATTAAATCTGTTGAACTATCATTGGGGAAATCATGAACTTCTGCCCATGGTGGCGCCTGCTACCCACCAAATTTCAAAATTAAAGAGAAACTCTGTGCATTGTGTAGCAGATTTTGGTATTTTTCATGAATAAGTATATTATTCTAGTGCTGGGTATTAAAGTTTGGGCTCCAAATGGATCAAAACGAATTTATCCAAATTTGGCCCATTTATATTCAAATTCGAATAAGATCTTGTCCATTAGGTTTATATCCAATTAAATGAACTAAGAATTACTTTGATTTATAAGCAATTCGAATGGAATTAAATGAATTAGGTTTATATCCAATTCGAATGGAATTCAAATCAGATATTAAAAGCTATAAGCAATTAAACTAAAAGTTATCAAAATTATATATTATTAATTAAATGAACTAAGAATTACTTTGATATTGCATTTTATGAATAAAAGGAATTCAAAATTATCTATATGAAACTTGAAACTATGACAATTTAAGAAATAACAACAATCAAACCATCTTTATACAAAATAAATTTTAAATATACTAGTGAAAGGTACAAGTACCAGTTTTATAGTAATATGGATATGAGTATTGTTTTAAATCAAATCAAATCAGATTTTCACACAAATGGGGGAGGGGGCCGGCGTAGCCCATGCATCTCCCGAACAGGATTTGATCCCAAGTCTTGGCTACAACCAACAGAGATCTTACCATAGAGCCAGTCGCACCTTGCAGATTGATTCATATTTGATCTGATGGTGTGCAATCCGGCTGGTCCTAACTGTCAACGACTTTGCCTCTGAGCGGAGCTATAGGGAGCATGAAACGGAGAAGATGAGGAAGCTCCGGGGGGAACCCGGTATGAATGCTCCAAAGCTCAAGTTAGAATTCTCTCAAAGGCAAGATAAAACCAGATGGTGCAAAGTTTACATACCTTGTTCTTGGGGAGAAGGGAGCCTTTTATAACAACCTCGTGCACTCACTTCTAAGCTTCTGTCAGGTCGGGTATGATTACCTCTGGGCCCCTGCACGTTCGGGTGTCATCCCCTCTGCTAGACAGAACCGCCACTGCTCTCTTTGTCGGAGCCGTCTCTGCGATTGGCGATGACGGTGGCAGGTGGCGGTGGAAGGTGGCCGTTGAAATGCGGTTGTCAAGCGTCAGATCCCAAGTCAGTCAGGTGCGCTGCCCTTGGATACGGACCTCCTTAGTGTCAGGTATGGTATGTTTGTTCAGTTTGGCGTCCTAGAGGCAAAGTGCTGGAGTGGTGAGCGAGGTGAAGTCTTGAGTTCGGAGAGGGGAGTGTCCTGAACTACCATGAGTCGGGCCAATTCGGGTCATTGCCTTGTGTGAGGCTCGGAACCTAAGGGAGAGTTTGGGCTCCCTGTAGGGAGTTCGGGCTCCTAGTAGGGAGTTCGGGCTCCTAGTAGGGAGTTCGGACTGCTGGTTCCTCCCTTCGGTGCTCGCGCCTTGAGCGCGCTGTTGTGCTGAGTTGTTCGCCT